GACGACAGGCAGGATATTAACGCCCACCCTCGACGACAGGCAGGATATTAACGCCCTCACCCACGACGACAGGAGGATATTAACGCCCTCACCCTCGACGACAGGCAGGATATTAACGCCCACACCCTCGACGACAGGCAGGATATTAACGCCCTCACCCTCGACGACAGGCAGGATATTAACGCCCACACCCTCGACGACAGGCAGGATATTAACGCCCTCACCCACGACGACAGGCGGGATATTAACGCCCTCACCCACGACGACAGGCGGGATATTAACGCCCACACCCTCGACGACAGGCGGGATATTATCGCCCACACCCTCGACGACAGGCAGGATATTAACGCCCACACCCTCGACGACAGGCGGGATATTAACGCCCACACCCTCGACGACAGGCAGGATATTAACGCCCACACCCTCGACGACAGACGGGATATTAACGCCCACACCCTCGACGACAGGCGGATATTAACGCCCACAACCTCGACGACAGGCGGGATATTAACGCCACACCCTCGACGACAGGCGGGATATTAACGCCCACACCCTCGACGACAGGCAGGATATTAACGCCCTCACCACGACGACAGGCGGGATATTAACGCCCACACCACGACGACAGGCGGGATATTAACGCCCACACCCTCGACGACAGGCAGGATATTAACGCCCACACCCACGACGACAGGCAGGATATTAACGCCCTCCCACGACGACAGGCGGGATATTAACGCCCTCACCCACGACGACAGGCAGGATATTAACGCCCACACCCTCGACGACAGGCGGGATATTAACGCCCACACCCTCGACGACAGGCGGGATATTAACGCCCACACCTCGACGACAGGCGGGATATTAACGCCCACACCCTCGACGACAGGCGGGATATTAACGCCCACACCCTCGACGACAGGCAGGATATTACGCCCTCACCCACGACGACAGGCGGGATATTAACGCCCACACCCACGACGACAGGTGGGATATTAACGCCCACACCTCGACGACAGGCAGGATATTAACGCCCACACCCTCGACGACAGGCAGGATATTAACGCCCTCACCCACGACGACAGGCAGGATATTAACGCCCTCACCCTCGACGACAGGCAGGATATTAACGCCCACACCCTCGACGACAGGCAGGATATTAACGCCCTCACCCTCGACGACAGGCAGGATATTAACGCCCACACCCTCGACGACAGGCAGGATATTAACGCCCTCACCCACGACGACAGGCGGGATATTAACGCCCTCACCCACGACGACAGGCGGGATATTAACGCCCACACCCTCGACGACAGGCGGGATATTATCGCCACACCCTCGACGACAGGCAGGATATTAACGCCCACACCCTCGACGACAGGCGGGATATTAACGCCCACACCCTCGACGACAGGCAGGATATTAACGCCCACACCCTCGACGACAGACGGGATATTAACGCCCACACCCTCGACGACAGGCGGGATATTAACGCCCACACCCTCGACGACAGGCGGGATATTAACGCCCTCATCCTCGACGACAGGCAGGATATTAACTCCCACACCCTCGACGACAGGCGGGATATTATCGCCCACACCCTCGACGACAGGCGGGATATTAACGCCCACACCCTCGACGACAGGCGGGATATTATCGCCCACACCCTCGACGACAGGCAGGATATCCTCAGGGCAGCGGCCTCCTGGAAGTAATCACTTCGAAACACCGTATAATTAGTGTTGTTATCTGCTCCCTATCCATGGCTAGATTAGGTTAGATTAGGTTTTGTTACGTTTAATTACGTTAATAAGGTGTATTATCCTCAAACGTGTGAAATATTACTTTCAAAATCTATTATTATTTTTATTTTTTTTTTTGAGATATATACAAGAGTTGTTACATTCTTGTACAGCCACTAGTACGCGTAGCGTTTCGGGCAAGTCCTTAATCCTATGGTCCCTGGAATACGATCCCCTGCCGCGAAGAATCGTTTTTTCATCCAAGTACACATTTTACTGTTGCGTTAAACAGAGGCTACAGTTAAGGAATTGCGCCCAGTAAATCCTCCCCGGCCAGGATACGAACCCATGACATAGCGCTCGCGGAACGCCAGGCGAGTGTCTTACCACTACACCACGGAGACTGCTGAACGGACTCATTTCAAGACACTATAAGCTGTATTTCTTGATATGTTGAAATGCGAAAACGTTTGGAATTGGTGTTTCTTTTCTTGTGTGAATACTTAAGGATTTCCATTTAGATATAAAGTAAATTATGAAAAATTTTCAGCTAAATAGAGTATCTTCAAAATTTTCCAGACAACATATGCTTAATTTCATTCCATTCCATTTCAGACTTCATGAAAATCGGTCGGAGGTGCTGGGTTACAGATTATATCCTTAAAACTATTTAACTTAGGCCTACCACCACCAGCCTATGTCCTTCCCGAACCCCAACCCATTCCCCCTGCAAATTTGGGTATTGCTAGCCCTATACATCTGATCTCTAACTTTGGACAGGAAAAAAAACCAGATAATCAGACAGTGGGACAGACCAATGGAACAGCAAAGATTAGCTTTTCTTCCTTCCATATCCAGCTAAAGCCTAATTATTCCCAGTCTTAAAAATAATAATCATCCAATTTTAAACTTTTCCAACTAACTCATAAGATAAGGAGATTAGAAGCATAATAATCCCAACTACGTTACTAATCTCATCGAAATCATCTCCTAATCTTAATCTGGACCTAAATAATCTCATCTTAGGGCTAGGATTAGAAAAGTTTGACACTAGAAGCCCCAAAGTGGCTCCAAAGTGGGGTGTGAAAGGAAGCACTGCTTCATTGTGAGAGTGTAGTGAGGGGGGATGGTGAGACAGAGGAGGTGGTTAGGTTTATGCGTCATTGTCAGGGTGGGAAGGTGTTGAAACAAGGTGTGGAGCCCTGGCAATGTGCAACCGGGGAATGTAAAACTTTGCTTAGTAGACTAGAACCCGAACTGAGGGGTATGAGCTACGAGGAGAGACTACGGGAATAAACCTCACTTCGCTGAGAGACAGAAGAGTTAGAGGGGACATGATCACCACGTACAGATTCTCAGAGGAATTTATAGGGTAAATAAAGACAGGCTATTTAACACAAGGGGAACACGCACTAAGGGACACAGGTGGAAACTGAGTGCCCAAATGAGCCACAGAGACATTAGAAAGAACTTTTTTAGTGTCAGAGTGGTTGACAAATGGAATGCATTAGGAAGTAATGTGGTGGAGGCTGACTCCATACACAGTTTCAAGTGTAGATATGATAGAGCCCAATAGGCTCAGGAACCTGTACACCAGTTGATTGGACGTTGAGAGGCGGGACCAAAGAGCCAGAGCTCCACCCCCGCAAACACAACTAGGCGAGTACAACTAGGTGAGTACACAGATGACTAACACACAGCTGACTACACACACAGCTGACTACACACACAGCTGACTACACACACAGCTGACTACACACACAGCTGACTACACACACAGCTGACTACACACACAGCTGACTACACACACAGCTGACTACACACACAGCTGACTACACACACAGCTGACTACACACACAGCTGACTACACACACAGCTGACTACACACACAGCTGACTACACACACAGCTGACTACACACACCTGACTACACACATGTGCCTACCAGGTGTGAAGTGCCTCGCCTGCACACCACAAGAGGAATGCGTCCCAGTTGGAGTCAGAATTGGGATTTATATGGTGATTATTGTAATCCGAGGCGGTGATTACAGGGTGGCGATTCGAGGATTAGTGGGCAAGGACAGGACAGGGACGAGGCGATTGGTGAGTGGGTGATGATTGGGGGCGGTAAGGGAGGCGTTGGGTGGTGTGTGTGGTGGTGTGTGTGTGTGTGTGTGTGTGTGTGTGTAGTGTGTGGTGTGGGTGTGTGTGTGGTGTGTGTGTGTGGTGTGTGTATGTGTGTGTGTGTGTATGTGTGTGTGTGTGTGTGTGTGTGTGTGTGTGTGGTGTGTGTGTGTGTATGTGTGTGTGTGTGTGTGTGTGTGTGTGTGTGTGTGTGTGTGTGTGGGTGTGTGTGTGTGTGTGTGTGTGTGTGTGTGTGTGTGTGTGTGTGTTGTGTGTGTGTGTGTGTGTGTGTGTGTGTGGTGTGGTGTGTGTGGTGTGTGTGTGTGTGTGTGTGTGTGTGTGTATGTGTGTTGTGTGTGTGTGTGTGTGGTGTGTGTGTGGTGTGTGTGGTGTGTGTGTGTGTGAGGTGTGTGTGTGTGTGTTGTGTGTGTGTGTGTGTGTGTGTGTGTGTGTAACCTCAGCATGCCCCCTGGTCACCTCAGCATACCCTGCCCACCTCAGCATACCCCTGGTCACCTCAGCATACCCCTGCCACTCAGCATGTCCCTGGCCACCTCAGCATGCCCTGGCCACCTCAGCATGACCCCTGGCCACTCAGCATTCCCCTGGCCACCTCAGCATGCCCTGGCCACCTCAGCATGACCCCTGGCCACCTCAGCATGCCCCTGACCCCTCAGCATGACCCTGGCCACCTCAGCATGACCCCTGGCCACCTCAGCATGCCCTGGCAACCTCAGCATACCCCTAGCCACCTCAGCATGCCCTGGCCACCTCAGCATGCCCCTGGCCACCTCAGCATGCCCTGGCCACCTCAGCATGTCCCTGCCACACTCAGCATGCCCCTGGTCACCTCAGCATGCCCCTGGCCACCTCAGCATGCCCCCTGGCCACCTCAGCATGACCCTGGCCACCTCAGCATACCCCTGGCCACCTCAGCATGTCCCTGCCACCTCAGCATGCCCCTGGTCACCTCAGCATGACTCTGGCCACCTCAGCATGCCCCTGACCACCTCACCATGCCCCTGGCCACCTCAGCATGCCCCTGGCCACCTCAGCAGACCCTGGCCACTCAGCATGACCCTGGCCACCTCAGCATGCCCCTGGCCACCTCCAGCATGACCCTGGCCACCTCAGCATGACCCTGGCCACCTCAGCATGCCCCTGGCCACCTCAGCATGCCCCTGGCCACCTCAGCATGCCCATGGTCACCTCAGCATGCCCCTGGCCACCTCAGCATGCCCCTGGCCACCTCAGCATGACCCTGGCCACCTCAGCATACCCTGGCCACCTCAAGCATGCCCCTGGCCACTCAGCATGCCCCTGGCCACCTCAGCATGTCCCTGGCCACTTCAGCATGCTCCTGGCCACCTCAGCATGCCCCCTGGCCACCTCAGCATGCCCCTGGTCACCTCAGCATGCCCCTGGCCACCTCAGCATGCCCCTGGCCACCTCAGCATGCCCCTGGTCACCTCAGCATGCCCCTGGCCACCTCAGCATGACCCTGGCCACCTCAGCATGCCCCTGGCACCTCAGCATGCCCCTGGCCACTCAGCATGTCCTGGCCACTTCAGCATGCTCCTGGCACCTCAGCATGCCCCTGGCCACCTCAGCATGCCCCTGGTCACCTCAGCATGCCCCTGGCCACCTCAGCATGCCCCTGGCCACCTCAGCATGCCCCTGGTCACCTCAGCATGCCCTGGCCACCTCAGCATGCCCTGGCCACCTCAGCATGCCCTGGCAACCTCAGCATGACCTCTGGCCACTCAGCATGACCCCTGGCCACCTCAGCATGACCCCCTGGCCACCTCAGCATGACCCCTGGCCACCTCAGGATGCCCCTGGCCACCTCAGCATGACCCTGGCCACCTCAGCATACCCTAGCCACCTCAGCATGCCCTGGTCACATCAGCATGCCCCTGGTCACCTCAGCATGCCCATGGCCACCTCAGCATACCCTGGCCACCTCAGCATGCCCCTGGTCACCTCAGCATGCCCCTGGCCACCTCAGCATGCCCCTGGCCACCTCAGCATGCCCCCTGGCCACCTCAGCATGCCCCTGGTCACCTCAGCATGCCCCTGGCCACCTCAGCATGCCCCTGGCCACCTCAGCATGCCCCTGGCAACCTCAGCATGACCTCGGGCCACCTCAGCAGGACCCCTGGCCACTCAGCATGACCCCTGGCCACCTCAGCATGACCCTGGCCACCTCAGCATGCCCCTGGCCACTCAGCATGACCCTGGCCACCTCAGCTACCCCTAGCCACCTCAGCATGCCCCTGGTCACCTCAGCATGCCCCTGGTCACCTCAGCATGCCCTGGCCACCTCAGCATACCCTGGCCACCTCAGCATGCCCCTGGTCACCTCAGCATGCCCCCTGGCCACCTCAGCATGCCCTGGTCACCTCAGCATGCCCCCTGGCCACTCAGCATGCCCCCTGGCCACTTCAGCATGCCCCTGGGAAGATGATGATAGAATGTGGGACAAAAAAGTGATAATGCATGACACTGTCTTCACTGTTCAGAGTGAGGCTCACCGTATGCCATCTTCCTGTCAGTGGCGAGGGGGGGGGAGCGGTCACCCTACAGGGGGAGGGGGGGGTCTTGAGGGGCGAGGGTGTAGGGAGGCGGGTGAGGGTGGTCCCATTAGGGGGGGTGTGAAGGGTGAGGGGTACTACCTATTCAACCCATTCTCGCACTTGCTTACAATCAGTATTGGCTTATTAATAAGTGCTTATGTGACATACTAATTGATTGTGAATATTTTAGTTTCCTTGAAAAGCTTCATAGAAAACACCGACCTCACCTAACTTTTAGTATGTTAAGATAAGCATCTTATTGCTTCTTAATTACAATTATTACTTAACCTATACCTATATTGATATTACAGTTTTATAAAAATAATAAATCAAAACCAAAATATTTAAATAAATTGTAAAGTAACTCAGGATATTGTCAAATATTGTATACAATCTCTATTGTTTAATAAAACTGAAAAAGAAATTCCTTTTATGAAAACTGGTGTTTAGCAAATATATAGGAAGAGTTTGTACCTTTAAAAACAAATTAAACTTGGAATATACCACATATGTACTTATTAATCAGCCAAATAGTGACTACAAACAATAAGTCATATATGTACTGTCTTGTGCGAGAGCGGGTTGACCTATTATGTCTAAACATTTCAACGAAGCTATTTACACAATCTTCCAGATGTAGATTTGGAAGTAGTAGTCCTCGAATATTTCACAGGTACTGTCTCAGGCGTCGTCTACGAGCCCTGGGGAAAGTTCGGATTATTTTCTTAGAAAGTTGCTGGTGTTTTGATCAAGAGAGGAGAAAGGCGACACGAGGAAATAGAAAGTAATGAGTGAAATACGAAGAAGAAAGAGGACAGTATTGGAGCAACCCCTTCTCGCACTTGCTTATAGTCAATATCTTGCTTATGAATAAGTGCATATGTGACATTGGAGGACATTAATTTGCCATGTTGAGGAAGGGTCTCTGCGTCTGTCTCTGTCTCTGTGTCTGTCTCTGTCTTTGTGTCTGTCTGTCTCTGTCTCTGTGTGTCTGTCTTGTGTGTCTGTCTCTGTGTCTGTCTCTGTGTCTGTCTCTGTCTGTCTCTGTGTCTATATCTCTGTCTGTCTCTGTCTGTCTCTGTGTCTATCTCTCTGTCTGTCTCTGTGTCTGGTCTGTCTGTGTGTGTGTCTGCTGAGCTGCTGTGAGGGTATGGACGGTGCTAAGGTTACTGACATCCCCCGTCAACTGCCATGTCAATATTATGACCAAAGAGACGGGTGAGGGAGTGATGGTGGGAGATGGAAGGGAAGCGGAAAATGGAAATGTGGGAGGGTAAAGAAGGGGGAGGAGGGGGAAGCAGAGGGTTGGGGGTGGGTAGGGTTTAGGTAATGTTTAGGGGGTTTGTCGTTATGATGGTGGGTTGGGTTAATTAGCTGGTGGTGGGTTAAGTTAGTGGGGATTGGCTAGTTCTCTCGATCGTTCCTTGGTGCAGTGGTTGGCGGTGTTGAAGGGGGGGGGGGGTGGTTGTACGGCTGATTGGTAGTTCTGTTAAGTGTGGCCGGTGGTGATGAGTTTGTCAAGTTAGGCAAGTGTTGATGTCCTTGCTCTGGTGATGTATATTAGATACATCAAATTGACTTCCTTTTAGCAGTAAAATAGGTACCTGGGTGTTAGTCAGCTGTCACGGGCTGCTTCCTGGGGGTGGAGGCCTGGTCGAGGACCGGGCGCGGGGACACTAAAGCCCCGAAATCATCTCAAGATAAACTCCTACCTGTTTAAAACAATTTCTAATTTATATTATTATTATTAAATTTATATTGGCTCTGGGGCATCATATTATTATAAAAATGATGCACTTGCTTATAGTCAATATCTTGCTTATGAATATGTGCATATGTGACATTGGAGGACATTAATTTGCCGTGTGAGGAAGGGTCTCTGTGTCTGTCTCTGTCTGTAATAACCTGAGACATTAGAACTCCAGAGATAATTCATGATTTTATTTACTACATTCTTCTACCTGGTTCTGTGCAGTGGTTCCTGGGGCAAGATTTACGAAGCAGTTACGCGAGCACTTACGAACGGTAAATCTTTCCTCAATCTTTGACGGCTTTGGTTACATTTATTAAACAGTTTACAAGCATGAAAACTTGCCAATCAACTGTTGTTATTGTTATAAACAGCCTCCTGGTGCTTCGGAGCTCATTAACTGTTTAATAATTGTAAACAAAGCCGCCAAAGATTGAGAAAAGATGTACAGGATCGTAAGTGCTTCCGTAAGTGCTTTCGTGAATCTGACGCCCTGGATTTCATAGAACTGTGATGCCATTGGTTCGCTGGGATCCTCTACGTCAAAGATAAACGTCGGGAAACGTTTATCCACGTTAATATACGTTTTGATGACGTGTTAATATGCTCAGTTCCTGCTCAGTGATTTAGAGTGAAATCTTGCCGTGGCAGGAGTGATTAGGTCGACTCATCAGTGCCAAGATGCCAGGGAGACGCTGGCACTAGTACCCAGTGCCACCAATCACAGCCTCTCTGGACGACACGTGGATCTTGACACTGTCAGGGTCCCGGAACCACTTGTCAGATCCAGCAGTGACGGAAGAGACTTGGGAAGAGGCTCGGACTCGGACAAAAGACCTTGGACTTTTCTTTCTTTCAGATCCTTCTCAGTTGACAGATGTGGCCTGATTGGTGACGTGGATATACTGATAGTCCTGATAGCTGAGGTAGGTGAGAGAGAGAGAGAGAGAGAGAGAGAGAGACGAGAAGAGAGGGGAGAGAGAGAGAGAGATGAGAGGAGAGGGAGAGAGAGGAGAGAGAGGACGAGAGGAGAGAGCAGAAGAGGAGAGAGAGACGGAGAGGAGACAGAGAGAGAGAGAGAGGAGAGAGAATGTTGACCAGACCACACCACTAGAAGGTAATATATGACCGAACCTAACCAACCCTACCTACCCTAACCTAACCTATCTTTATAGGTAGGTTAGGTTAGGTAGCCGAAAAAGTTAGGTTAGGTTAGGTAGTCGAAAAAACAATTAATTCGTGAAAACTTGGCTTATTAGGCAAATCGGGCCTTGCCTAGTAGGCTGAGAAGTGCGTTCTGGCTACTAGATACGACATATATATATATATATATTATATATATAATATATATATAGATATATATATATATACACTAGAGAGATTAAGGAAGGGTTCGAACCAGGACCCGTTTAAAATTTAAGCATTTTGAGTTCTGTGAGTCTTTAAGTCCCGGTGGTACAGACGGGTTCGTTCGCGAATCATAATCGTGAATTCCGGGTTCGAATTCCAGCCCGACGGACGGAAATGGTTCGGCGCGTTTCGTATCACCTAATGCACCTGTTCACCCAGCAGCGAGTAGGTATCAGCTTGTTGAGTTAGTCAGCTTGTTGAGGGGGGGGGGGGGTCGCATCGTGTGAGGGTGGGGGGGTGGGGGGGACCTGTGGATGTAAGCCTAACGTGTATGAATACACTCTGGCTACCTGTCCCCCGGCACTATGAATTATTGTTATTAATTTTGTACGCTCATTTTTGCACTAATTATTTCACTTAAAACTTTCCAAATGTTTAGCATTGTCTTACGGAGGTATAAAAAAAATGATCATACAGCTGTAGTTCTACGGCTCGCCATAGCCTGTGCTACATGGACACGTTCGTTCTGAGTAGCTAAATCTGAAACAACAACAGCGTAGTTGAAATACAATGATCTTTTTCCCCTGATTTACACGTGAAGGCAGAGGTTATTAAACGCTGGGGGGAGGAACACCCCATAGCAAGCCATCACATAGCTCCCCATCCCCCCCACTTAAACCGTGGTGCGGTCCCCCCTCTTCCCTAGTGTGGAGGGGGGGCAAGGGGGGCAGGGGGGGGGGAGATGCTGCAACATTCCAAAGGAGATGATGTAGGGTGGATCAGAGTGGGTGCAGGTGGCCCACTCTGCCCCGCGCGGGAACCTTGTGGCCGTGTGATTGGTCACGGCGGTTTTTGGCGCGAGGCCATCCAACATGCGGGCGGGCCGCCCTGCTGGACCCCCACACAGCCGCTCTTCCTGCCTCCAGACTGGCCTCTTGTGTCTCTCTCTCCTCTCTCTCTTCTTCTCTCTCTCTCTCCTCTCTCTCTCTCTCTCTCTCTCTCTTCTCTCTCTCTCTCTCTCTCTCTCTCTCTCTCTCTCTCTCTCTCTCTCTCTCTCTCTCTCTCCTCTCTCTCTCTCTCTCTCTCTCTCTCTCTCTCTCTCTCTCTCTCTCTCCTTCTCTCTCTCTCTCTCTCTCTCGCTTCTCTCTCTCTCTCTCTCTCTCTCTCTCTCTCTCTCTCTCTCCTTTCTCTCTCTTCTCTCTATCCCTTTCTCTCTCTCTCCTCTCTCTCTCTCTCTCTCTCTCTCTCTCTCTCTCTCTCTTCTCTCTCTCTCTCTCTTCTCTCTCTCTCTCTCTTCTCTCTCTCTCTCCTCTCTCTCTCTCTCTCGCTCTCTCTCTCTCTCTTCTCTCTCTCTCTCTCTCTCTCTTCTCTCTCTCTCTCCTTTCTCTCTCTCTCTCTCTCTCTCTCTCTCTTCTCCTCTCTCTCCTCTCTCTCTCTCTCTCTCTCTCTCTTCTCTCT